GCTCTTGGACCTATAGGTATGCAAACATGTAGTAGAAAAACATTTTTAGAATGCACTTAGAATAAAGTTAAGAGTCTAAGGGCAAAAGCATATGATCAGAACCAAATGATTGTGGTTTAAATGCCCATCTTTCAGCTGAGATGATTTAATACCTAACCTATTGCAACTTTGCAAGTGGCTAAAATTCTACAAGCGTTTCCCTGGAAAACTTGTCTCATTTTCTGAGGTTTAGAGACCTAATGGTAATTTTCCAGCATAAACTAGACCCATGTCCATTTTATATACATTGTAGCATTTGAAATGCAAGTTTGCTACCATTTTCTGTCCCTACTAATATGTCTTCAACAGGTACATCTCAGACTCTTTTCAGCTGAAGGCTTAGTCACACCATCTCTCCACAGCTGACATGAGTATACACTCAGGCTCTTGTTGTTTCCAACTGTGGAGGCCTTAGCCTATGGCATCCTTTCCTTGTCCCTGGTGTGTGACCCTGTGCTCTGTATTTTTAGTTTCAATCCACTTTTATTACTTCAGTCCTTCAGACTGTCGGTCTGGTTCATTCTGTATGATTTTCCATCTTCACCTTTCTACTGAGGACTTGAAGGTTTGTGTCATTGGCAAATGTTGTTAGCATACTCTGAATTTTTGTATTGATATCAGTAAAACACATTTGGTTCCAAAAACATGCTTTGAAACATCACCAGTAACCTTTTTCTATCCCATAATATCCTTTTTGGTCCTAATGTTGTTTTCTTCCCTTAAACCAAGTGATGATTCTTTTACATTTCTGGAGTACCTCATCCAGAATATTTTTTTTTCTTAAGGGGCATTGTGTCCAATATATATGATCATATCAGCTAGATTTTCTGTGTTCCTTTCTTAAAATATCACTTATCTTATAAAGAGAGGTGCCAGGTTAATTTGGCGTAATGATAGTCTATTTTGGGATAAAGATGTTATTAATTATATTCCATTTTTCATTACCTCAGTGTCTATAGCTATGCAATGCTTCCTAATTTGTTTCAAATCCTTGCACAGCTCATGAGGTCAGAGCCACTTGCTTTTATGTTGCCTGGATCATGTACATCCCTTTTTCTTAAACAAAAAAAATTTAGGTTTTTTATTTTTCAGACATTTGATTGCCAGCCTGATAGATTCATTAAAAGTCTTTGTTGTTAAACTGGCCTTTCATGTGCAAGTATTGTAAGTATTCTCGAGTGGAGATTATGGGGTCTCGCCCTCCTGGTCTAGACACTTCCTTAAGAACAGTTTTATGTCTTTGTTTTGTTCTCATCTTAGATGAGTAATTTTCATTTCCACAGTCTGTATCATTAGCTACACTGCATTTGCTACTGTAGTCAACATCCTTATATTAATTTTGTTTTGGACTGTCTGTAAATTATCTTTAATCTTAACTGCTTTTTGCTGCTTGGTGAAGCCACTCTTTTTCCTGTTTTCTTTTTATTTAGATGATGAAAGTACAGTTTAGTACTTGCAATTTTGCAAGATCTGACTCTGCCTAACATTTTCTGTTCTCACTTTCTCCATATATTTTCTGACATCTGACAGTTTTCCTTGCATATTAGTTTCATTTTCCACCCTACAAGCTTTCTGCATACTCCAGATACTAGATGAGCAGTCACCTCAGAGAGTGTTAGAAATGGAGCCCTTTGTTATAAAAGGTTTTTCCACATGTTTGAAGCTGCAAGTTTTTAACAGCCCACAGCCACAGCCTTTTTCTTAAAGGAATTCTAGCACTTCCTTGAGTCTTCATTATTTCCCTTATTTTCTGATCTTTTAAAGTGAAATTCTGATTTATTTACGTTTAACATTTATTTACGTTTAACATTTATTCATGTCGCAGCCATTTTTTAAAAAATTGAATGAATATGTCATCACTTACCCTGAGATATAGCGTTCTTGACCAAGTATTTAATAACGTCTTGTAGCTCACTTTTCTTGTGTTATGTGTCACATCCTCAGATACCTGGGTCTACCCCTTGTTAGTAGAATTTATTTTCTGAGAAGTTACAATATCACCTTGCAGCTTTCATAGTGCTATTTACTCCTTATTTGCTAGTTCATAATATTATTTGCTTTCTAAATAATGCAGAAATTTATATAAAACAAAAGGGATCCTTAGCAAACCTTTTGGAAAGGAATCTGAAACCAATTAGAAACAATCTTATGGTCTTCCATCGCTAAAAATAGTGATGGAATGAACTATGAACCAAGTATGTGTACCCTCTCTAATTTTCTTACAGCAATTGTTCAGAAAGGTTCGGAAGATAGTGAGTTATACAAGCTATTGCAGGCAGCTTTATGGCCTTCTATACTTCAATATAGTCCTCTCACCAAAATTTTTGGGCAGAATATTGCCATTGCTTTACAATTAAAAAAAAAATGTCCAATTGGCAAAATTAAGATATTTTAGGGGGATGATCAAGGTGAAAGTCATGAATACAATCTTACAAATCCATATTAGTTAAATTCCTTATAGTTGCTTTCAGTTGCACGCAAGAGATCTTCCATTATTTCTCTCAGTTAAATTTAATTAATTTCAGTTTTTTGTATTTTCTTGTTAAATGAAGCCAAGAAACTGCTCTGTATGGCTACTCTCATGGAAGTCTTTTATTCATTTTCTTTAAGCAGGCTGTATGAATTTTAAGTGAAATTATTTTTTCCTTTATGCATCATATGTTAGATTAGCGCATCCCTAACTGAAAGAGGTTAGTGCTGCTGGACCATCAGTACTAACCAGCAGTGGCTTCTGCCTTACTCTGTCATTTAGACATGGGAACAGGAAAATCAGTCCTCCTTTTATTGGAGCATCTTTTCTTCACCAGCAGATATCAAACTGTTAAATTGCAAGAGGAACATGGAAAATGTAAAGTCATTGTGATACGTAATCCTTGACAGGACGGAAAATATAAGGAGATGGTTATGCTTTGTCTTTAGTTTTTTTAAGCTACCCTAGGACTTGTCACCATTTTCTGGAATGGCTTATGCTGTCACCTGTCAATGAAGCAGAGTAATCACAAGAATAGATTTTTATTATATATTTTATATCCTACTTTTTTTTTTCCTTGCCCTTTACCAACAGAGGGTTATTCAGCAATTTTTAAGGTGGCAACTCCTGTTTTAAAACAAGAACTAACATGATTCTCTTGTACATTTTTGAACTATGTTTTTTTCAGCTATTGAACTGTATCTTGTCTTAGGACCATCTTGGAAGGCAAACAAAATTTTGTTGTGCAACAAAATATACTCCTCTTTCCTCTTTAAAATTTTCTATTTACAATAGTTATTTAAATTCTTTCTTATTGGCAGCAGACTGGGCTTGTATTTTCAGGCAGTTGACTCTAACTGCAGGCAACAGATGCATTTAAAATAGACTGCAATAAGATTCTATTTTTGAGATGTAGTGACTGGAAGGGAATCTTCTGTCAGTCAGATATACATTAAAATGGTATTTATTTTAAAATTGAATATTCTAGTTTAAAAGATTTGCAATGTTTTCACAGTTACTACCTAAAATTGTAAAGGAATGCTAAAGAATTAAGGGATAGAAATTTGCATCTGGAATTCAGTGTGGAACATGATACTTAATCATGTGCAACATAAACAGTGTAAATTGTCGATTCATCTGCATATTTGGGTATTTTTAAAGAAAACTAAAGAATTTTTAAAAACTTAAACTTTCCTTACTTTTATAATTCTTCATCCTATTAGATATATTACAAATTTTAAGGAATGTATTATTCAGCTGATTGAAGGCTAGCATGCCATGTCCTAATAGATTGAGCAGCTGCATTGGTTCTTTAAGATACTTCACACTTTGCAAATAATCATAAGTAAGCATAGTCCTATGAGTATTAAAATATACTACATTGCCAATATTGTGTCAATATTTAAAGATAAAATTCAGTTTTGCAGCAGCAGCCCAGTAGAATCTAAGTGGGTGGGAGAGGGCTGGAGGAACCAGTAGCCAGAGGAGGCTTCAGGAAGAAGAATTTGCACCTTTCAGTAGAGGTGGGATCTGCAGCTGCTGCTGCATGAGGGAGTTACTGCTTGCTGCTGTAGTTGGCCCTCTCCACACTCCTTTTCAGGGTTTGTACCATAATAGTTAATCCTGTGTCCTCAGGCTGCAGTTTCTAGCTGTTCTTTGTCTACAGCTGGCCAAGGAGGTGAATGCAATCTCTGCACTTGGAGTTCTGTTGTGTTAATAATAGTTAACAGTAGACAAATATGGCAGTGAGAAAGAGATGAAAGTACTAAGAAAGCCCATTGTTCATACAGAATGTTTTAGTTCTGTATTCCTTCTTAAAAAAAGAATTCATATGTAGACCTATCAAAATTACATACATTAGATTTCAAAGTCATGGTGATTTCAGGTGTCTCCTCATATTTAAGATCATATTTATTAATTTTTATTTTTAATTGCATATGAACTAAGTTAAGTGAATCTGTTAATCATGTTCATTTAAAACTATAATTGATGGAATCTATTTTAAAAGCTGGATTAGAAAATATCACCTTCTGAATGAAAAAAGGGACTTGACACACTCTTT